AAATATTCTTTTACAAATTCATTCCAAACTCAAACTCAAGAGTGAACGTTTTAAGAAGTGATGACTCGTGGTTACATTGCATTTTTATCCGAATCGATAATATTTTAAACATTAAACTAAAGATTGTTATGGACTATAATTTACTGAAATTTAAAATTCATTACTTAAAAGGAAAATATCTAATTGATTCATATAAATATTCGAAAACACATTTCGTACTTCTAGAAGTCCATGCTGTACAAGTCTTGCTGCAATAAAATTGTTTTTATGTTTGTCTTTTAAGTAAACATCATTTTCGTAGTAATCAGTGTACAATCTGAAATCTAGGTAGAATCATAGCAGGGTCCTCAATCTATTGGAGATATAGCTAGCTTGTCCACTATCTATTTTTTTTTTTAACTCATGCAGTTCCCAAGATTTCATTTTTGTAGCACTTAAGTCCTTAGTGGATAGTTTTACACGAGGTTCTAAAATGTGTAATGCGTGGTAATGCGTTTCGATCGAGTATCAAGAATTACAAGCATATGCGTACTTATACGAAACATATACGTAATTATACGTTTTTTATTTTTAATATTATTTTAAACATTTCAAACTAATAATAAAAAAATAAAATACTGCATTCTTTGAACTTTATACATATTTTTCAATTTATTTTTAAAAAAATTATATTGATCAAAATTATTAACACTTCAATTACTTGAACTTTACACTAGTTCTTCAAAATTTCAATAAAAATATATTGCTCGAGATCATAAATGCTACAATGACTTAGTAATCAATTCTTACAATTAAATTAGACACGAACATGACTTAATTTTTTTTTAAATCTTATCTAGCTCCTTATTGTATTACAATTCAATCTCTTCTTCTTCATCCAAATCATCAAATGCAAAATCATTTTCATTGTACTCCCTTATTTCAACTCAAAAATTTATATTACTAGATAGTACGATATTATTAACAACCTCTTTATCATCATCACAACCATCAATAGTTCAAGATTGTGTACTACTAACATCATTTGATAGTAAAACTAGCGAAAGACAGAAGAAGAAGGATGCTCAAGCTTGGTGTACATAGTTTGCAACTCTACGAAAATTTTGCTTTGATTTGTTCTAAACGTCAAAACCCTACAAATTGATGTACATAATCTATGGGTTTGGGTGATTTGGGCTAATTTGATATTTGTTGAGTTCGTTTTTTTTAAGCTTGTAAAAATGGGCTAGGCTTTGCCATATTAATTTTGACATAATTTTTAAAACAAATATGTGTGTATTTTGATGTTTAAGCGTACACATGCAGTTAACAAAATGAGTTGATTGCATTATCTCGCGCATATCTTACATGCAAAGTGTTTCGAAAATGCATCAAGAATATGTGTGCATATGCGAAGTATATGCGTTCATTTTAGAATACTGATTTACAATTATGTTTGATTTAAAGGTCAATTTTCTGTTAAGATGACGACTTTCCCTTTATCTTGAATTTGACAAAAAATATGATAAATAACTCAAAAATGTATTTTACGAGAGATTGGCCTCTGCTATATAGTTGAAACCTACAATTAGCTAGCTCATAAGTACGTCAATTTTAGTAACGAACTTGTACAATTTTTGAGTTGCACTTCTATATGACTCTACATTTTGCTCCTGTTTGGTTCAACTAAAATTTTATTAAAATTTAAGTTAAGGTCAAACAATTAATTTAAATCACACATCTCGTAGGACTTTCAATTTTTCAACCACATATACCATTAATTTTTATCAAAATCTACTAAAAATTTGATTTTTAACTAAATCAAACAAACACTTTGAATATCACAAATCAAATCTTCTAAATGGCGCCGTTATGTTACTAATTTGATTTTTATTTAAATGTGTGTAACAAAATTTGATTTCAAAATTAAAACTTGGGCCTTGTTTGATTGCACTTCAATTTCATGGAATTTGAAAATTAAATTCCGTTTTCCACATTTTTGCGTGTTTGATTGTCCAAAATTTTCATGGAATTGGTTTTCCATCTTTCACCCACATGCTCATATTTTCTTGGTTTTTGAGGAAAAACAACTTTTTATTTTTTATTATTTTTTGTAATGGAAACAAATCATATCCCCAATTGTAACAAATTTTACTCCTTTAATGGACAATTTCCATGAAAATCAAAACCAAACAAACATCTAAAGATTCAAAATTTCAATATTTTTTAGGTGAAAAATTATACCAATCAAACACAATTAATTGATAATTCTCTGTAAAATAAGTTATAGGCAATTTCAATTCCATAGAATTCACTTTCTTTCCACCCAAAGTTCATTCTTACAATTAAATGGACCCTAAGGGTAAAACTATACAATAGAACCCAAGTGCTACAAAAATTAAAAGTTGGGAGACTATGCTCATCTAATTGCTACATTTCCAATAGGTTGGAGACCCTATCTGTAATTTTCCCTAAAATCAATTGTTGAACGAGAAAAAAACATAAACAATAATTGGTGGGTACCATCTAATGAAAATTACCTAATTTAAATGCCAAAAAAATGCCAAACAAAAAATGCCGGGAAAATGAGATTGTTTCAATATCAAGTGACCCCACTGCTGGCTCCTGATGCCGGCGCGTGTACAATCAAATATACAACCGTCTGAATGAAAAAAAGACATTTGTACTATTTGAATGCCTCAAAAATCTGTAAAAGAAAAAAAAAAAATAATCCATAACAATGTTGAGTTTCTGCCAACTCCCCACCTAACAAAACCCAGAGAGAATCTGTTAAAATTTGTGAATTTTTCATTTCTCTTGTTTATAACGAAGTTTTGAAGGTTATGGTGCGGTGAAGGATTATGGGGTCAAGAAAGAATTGCTGTAGTAGTATTAATTATGATTACTCTTTCAAGATACTGTTGATTGGTGATTCGGGTGTTGGAAAAAGTAGTCTTCTTCTTAGTTTCATTTCAAACTGTCAGCATTTTCCTCAGAACCTCTCTCCCACAATTGGTATACTCTCTCTCTCTCATCAATTATTTGAGTTATATACGCGCGTGAGTGTGTGTTTGGGCTGTCTTCTTGTCCCTTTGATGGGATTTCCAATTGAATAAAGGCAATTGAAGCTGGAAAAGACAATGAAAAGTTCTTGTTGAGATTTGGAGAGCAGGTTTAGCTAAGCTTTTAAGTAGCTTTTTGTCAAAGATGTCAATTGTTTTAGCTTCGTTTGAACTTTTAAGCTAAGCTAAACATGCTTATTTTGAGCTGATTTGCTTTTCTTTTACTATTTATTTGTTTTACTGTAATTTACGCCTTCTACCATTTGATGGCTGGTATACTTCTGATCTGAAAAATCCAAGCAAGAAAAATATGCTAACATTGTTTACTGTATAGTCGAATCATGTGTACTACTGCATGCCTGATGTGCCTTTAACACTTTTGTTTTGGATGATTGTCATGCCCGTAGACATTTGGAGCTATAAGTTTCATTCTAATTAAAAGGAAGTTTCCGAATCTGTAATTTTTTGATGGCAGTAGACTTCGACACTTGATCTTGAATGGAGGAGTACGTTTTTTCGCGGATTAATTTTGCACACATTGATTTTTGAGGTTGATTTTCTTACGTCCAGGAGTGGACTTCAAGATAAAGCTGCTAACAACTGGTGGAAAAAGACTAAAGCTAACAATTTGGGATACAGGTAAATGAAATATGAAGTAAATCCCGAAATGAAATATAACTGAAATTATTTGTTTGCACTATAAATAGATTGCTCTAAAAATTTATGTTCGTAAGGTGGAGTTGGAAGCATGGAATTGGCATTCAATTCAGACATGATGAAATCATTTCCGAGTCTAATTCCATTTCCATGCTTACCTAATTACTTATACGAGTTTATATTACAATGCAGCGGGGCAGGAAAGGTTTGGAACACTAATGAGTTCATACTACAGAGGCACTCATGGAATCATTCTTGGTATGCTACTGTAACGGCATAATGCATTGCTAGACAAAATTAGTTGCACAGGTGATATATTGAAGTTTGCTTTAGTTGAGTTCCATATTTTAGGTATTATTCGGGGAAAACCACACGAGGCATTAACTTCTATCACAATTATAATTCTATTAATGGCTGTTTCTTCTTAGCAGAGGCGGACCTTATTGTTTCGGAATTGGTCTACTGTCCAGCCTAAAGTTTAGGCGACTTTTGTTTCCTTTGAAAATATTCAGCCCACTCCAAAAGTCAATGTCCACTGGAGCTCTGAATTTTTAGTCTACTCTAAGATTTAGTTTTAGTTTCGCCTCTGCTTGTTAGTTGCATCTCTTCTAATGTTCCCCCAATCGAGTTAGTTTTTCTCTGAAACCATACAATTTCGAATCAATGTGGTCAAAGGCTTTCCCACTTGTATTTTATGTTGGTGGGTTTACTGCCATTATTCATCGTGTCTGTTCATTGATAGTTCTCATAATGAGATTTACCAATCTGGTCATGTTTTTATAGTATGATGTATTATGTTGGTCTTTACACTCATTGTGGAAGTAACTACTGGACTATTTCATTGCTTATTATAGTTTATGATGTAACAAGACGAGAGACGTTCACGAATCTATTGAAGGTATGGGCCAAGGAACTAGAGCTTTACTCGACAAATCCCGACTGTGTCAAGATACTAGTTGGAAATAAAGTTGATAGGGTGAGTTCTCGTGACTGTCTTATGGTGCATGTTTGCTACAAAGTAATGATGAATCAGAAAGTGCCACAAAATGGATTTTATGTTTTTTTTCTATTTATTATTAGCTTGTGCAAGTAAATTTTTTTTTTTTCAACAACCTTTGAAGAAAATGTATCATTCTATTTTCAGGATAGTGAGAGGGCAGTTACTGTGGAGGAAGGAATGGCTCTTGCTCAGAAGCACAACTGTTTATTTCTCGAATGCAGTGCTAGGACTAGAGAAAATGTGCAGCAACTATTTAAAGAGCTAACGATGAAGGTATACCTGAAAGGCAAACCCTGACGATATACGTTAATATTAACATTAGATAAGCAATAGGATATGTAATTTCGGACTTAGTTTCACAAGTTAGCTGTACATGTTTGGTTGTTTTTGGGTCCATCCATGAAGCATGAAGTACAGAGTGGTCTTTAATAGGTTTACGTTGTTCTAAAACAACTGTTACAAGAAGAATGAAGGGGAGAAATTATACTGAAGAAGTAACATGTGGTGCAACTTCATGAGCCATTTTCTTCCTTTCCCCTCTGACGGAAAGGAACATTTGAGTATTCTTTATCTTCCTAAATGATATCTCCAATGTAAGAAATATGCAGAAATAGGTAGATTATAATATGAAAAGGCTATTATTTCTTAGAAATGGATCTGTTTGACTCATTCACGTCTCATCCCAAGGATGGGAATTTCGCATCAGGATGCAGGTGTGAAGCATGCACTGTTAGGTTTCAGGCCCTGTTTTCGTATTTGATATAATAAAATGCTTCAAAAACTAATAGATTTATCATGCTCTATACTGTGTGAATCTAATCGTAGTGTACATTTATTCCCTTGATCAAGGATCAAATGTCGCACTAAGGCTACCTCTGTAGCACGAACACTTCACTTAGGACAGTGTGTCCGTGTCCGATATGTGTCGGATACCGACACTCTTCGGACACTTTACTATAGTCATCTTTCAGAAATATTATATATTTTTAACTCAAAATTATATTAAATAGCAAATAAGTACTTATGTAGATTTCAAAAAAAAAATTAATAACAAGTATAAAATTAAATTTATATTATATGAATGAAGAATTTTAAAGAATTTGATCAACGTGTTGACGATGTGTTGAGTCGGCACTTTCTTTAAATATGGTGTGTCGTAGCATCCGAACGTGTCGTGTCGACACGTGTCCATATCGGTGCATCATAGAAGGACACTATAAGGATTTTGGGGGCAGGTTTTGAACGTATGAGGAGCACGAGATGACGAGAAACACCTTGTACTTTGCTTCTCCAATATAGTGAAAATCCAAAGGGGAAAGTCAATGCAGGGGAAAGTTAATGTAGCTTTCTACATTGAGGAAACCACTATGAATTTGTTTGTTTTGCTTTGCTTTTTTTCAATGGCATTATGTTTATTATGGCTCTCATAAGGAGGGATTATGGCTCAATCCCTTACATTTCAATCTTTTTGACGCTTATTATGTCAATGATGTTCTCTCTGTTCCGTTACAGATCCTGGACATACCTAGTCTACTGGAGAAAGGGTCTACGCCTGTGAAGAACCAAATTTTGAAACAGAAACAAGTTTGTCATGCACAGCATAGCAGTAATTGCTGCTCCTAGTCAAAATTCTTGGAGACAAAAATTGGAAATGCAGTTGATAAGAAAGAAGGGATGCCTAAGCAGGGCATCCTTTAGAAATATACTCGTCATCCCTCACCATTGGATTGATTTGAACAAGGATCACAGTCGAGGAATTTTTCTTTTCTGTATGTAAATTTGGATGGTTTTGTTTTTTCCATTCTTTTAATATTTACAGAATACATATATGTATTATAATCTTTGCTTATGAAAAGAATATACAGGGTTCATATAGCTTAACATTTTTGTAAATTTACACACATGAAATAGATTGTGTTATACAAGGAAAGTGGATTTCGAATAACGTTTTTTGTGGCTTCACGTTGGACTGATATTTTTCTTAGGAAACTTGCTGACCGACTCCTAATATTTCCACACGTAGTTACTGTTAGGATTATTTTGGATTCTTTTTGCAAAGAGTAGCAAAAATAAGCTAATAGCTACTACACAAGTACTTGCCAAAACAAAAAAAAAAAACTCTCAAAACCGTCCATGCCAAATACTTCCAATAAGTTGGATTTCACTAAAGTAAAATATAAATCAAATTCCCAGGTTGGAAAAACAAGCTGTAGAAACTATATCCATTGTTTTCTGGACATTCCTCTGCCGGCATGCTGTCATGTCCAAAGAGTCAAAGACACCACACTATTCCTATACGGGTTTGCACTTTTCATTTTATCTACTTCGGACAATCCGTTTGAACATTCTGCACTACATTAAACAGGTTTGAGAATATATTTATATCTTCTAGCCTAAGACAGGAAGAGCCTTATTGTATTTACAACTTCACTTCGATCACCCCGACCCTTTGGTATCCCGATCCTCAACCCTTGCAATGGCTTCTTTTAGTCCTTGCAGGATTCAAAGTTTCAGCTGAGATAACACTATTAAGCCTGTCTCATTTTCTCAGCCTGTATGATGTTTTCAGTATATCTAGAAATGAATCAAATAGAGCACTGGAAAAGAATTCATATAGTTGATCCCAAATTTATTGTATATAAGCACTAACTGTATGTAACTGTTAATGGCAGGTTATTACAATAAATGGAATGTTTCCAGGGCGATAATTTTTGCAATTTTTTTTTCTAACTCCCCAATAACCATCTAGGTTTATGACGAAACCTTCTTGGGAGAAAATAAGTTTCTTGAAATTCTTCATCACTCTTAATGGCAGGTTATTACAATAAATGGAATGTTTCCAAGGCCCCTCATCAATGCCACAACCAATGATGTTGTTCATGTCAATGTGTTCAACAATCTGGGTGAACTTTCACTTATAACATGGTAAGAGTACAGGAATAAAGGTGGGATTTAAAAAACGACTCAGGAATGTTTGATATGATGGATTAGACATAAGTATGCTGTTAAAATTTTGTTTGTTATAATGTTTAATTCAACAGAGACTAAATTCATGGCAGGATGGAGTTTCCGGCACAAACTGCCCAATTAAAGCCGGGAGTAACTGGACTCGTGTATTTCAAAGCAAAGATCAGATCGGAAACTTTACATACTTCCCCTCCATTAATTTCCACAAGGTTTCTGGAGGATATGGACAGATTCGCGTCAACAATTGGAATGTTTTTCTTGTGCCTTTCGCTAAACTGGAAGCCGAATTTGATCTTCTTATTGGTGACTGGTTTGTAGCTGATTGCAAGGTAAATCATCACCCACTCAATAAGCGAAAATTTCCAAAATTGGATGGAATTTCGACTTTGAGTGTTTTTTTTTTTGGATAAGGAAATTAGATCACTGGTGAAAGATAGTTGGGGTATTCCTGATGTGTTGCTGATGAATGGTAAAGCGCCTTATGGATATTCAAGTGCTATGGTCTATGAATCTTTTAATGTCACGAAAATGTGATAAATTCTAGTCTACTGCAACATCTACTACTGGATGCTAAATATGTCTGTTATGTGTAATGTTTTAAACCGGGATTGATATGGGTTTATGTGTAAATCTTGATCCTATATGTAGGAAACATTTATCAAATTAGAGTTTCAAATGTGGGAAGTGTATTCAGTTTCAACTTCAGAATTCAAAATCACAAGATGGTGCTAGTTGAAACAGAAGGATCATACACAAACCAGATTACATTGGATTCTCTTGATGTGCATGTTGGACACTCCTATTCTGTTCTTGTTACTGCCAATCAAGATGAAGCTGATTATTACATGGTGGCTAGTCCAAAATTATACGATACCATTATCAGTAACGCCCCCAGTCTTATCGTAAAAGGGGTATTACACTATGCCAACTCCGTTGCAACAGTCGGGGGGGCCTGTTCCAAGTGGACCCGATCCATTCGACATAGAGTTTTTGATAAATCTAGTTAAATCTATCAGGTCAGCTATTCGTATCAGATTATTTTAAGGGTGCGTTTGATTGCAAGGGTGGAAAATGGGTGGAAAGAAAATGAATTCCAAGGAAAATATTTGCCTAGAAAATTTTTTCCTGGGAATTGTCAATTAGTTGCGTTTGATTGGTATAATTTTCCACCTAGAAAATGTTGAGATTTTCCATCTTTTTGTGTTTGATCGGCTGAATTTTCCATGGAAAATGATGGTATTTTCCATCTTTTGCTGTTTGATAGGCTTTATTTTCCATGAAAAATTATGGATTTTTTTTTTCCAACAATTGGTGTTTTATAGCCATTTATAATGTCCAACAGACCATGACCAACAAAATAATGTTGAAAAATGATTTAAAACCCGAGTAAAATTCTTCATATTAAACACAAAGGTGGATGTGCATTTTTTTCAATAGTGGATTTTCTTCAAATAAGAA